GTTCCTGTAGGGGGTTAGGTTAGTAACTCTTTAAGGTGATCGCTACCTGTTTAGAATATCTATCACTCATGTCCATCCCTAGAGAGGTCCCCGGGTACTTTCGTTTAATCTTTTGTCTTGATGTCTGGCCTGAAAGGAAGTGCCTATCTCTTCCTTTGCAAGGTATCTTGTCTTCCATACTGGCTTCTTTGAGGGCCTAGCCCTGTCTGACTGCCTATAATATTTTTATCTAACTCGACTGCCTATAACATTAGGGAACAATGGGTGATGACCACTCTGGCTTCTTCAGGCTGAAGGGGGTCATAGTTGTTGACCAGCAGTCAGAGATACTCTCCAGAGGGTCTATCTAAAGGCCCTCGATAGACACCAGGTGTGGAGAAGGACATTCTTTTGTTAGAAAAAGCACTGAGGACACACAATGATTTGTTTTTTGTTTGTTAGGGTTTCTTAAAATAAGCCTTCACTGTTCAGCCCGGACTGGCCTTGAGTCTACGATCCTCTTGTCTCAGCCTCCCAAGTGCTGGGATTACAGGCATGTGTTGGATTTCATGTGGAGAAGAATAATATTTTAAGTAGCTGTGTTATCCTTGCTAAAACATTTGGTATCCGCCCATTTATACTAGCTCAATAAAAGATGACTGGGATTGCTAATTGAGGCTGCAGTCCAAGAGGCTGTAAGCCCCCTGGTCCCAGAATTAATGCCTCTCTTGTTTTTCTTGCTTCTCTTTTCTTTTCATCTGTGAGTACCTCATTCTCGGGACCTGTCACCCCTGGACAGAAATGGAATCTGCATCCGACAACCAGGCATTTTTATCTTGGGTAGACATGTAGCTTTAAGTCTGGAGGAGACAAAGCCAAAGAAACAAGTATGTAATGGGCCAAATAATAAGATCTGCTGGATAATTATGAAGACAGTCACAAAAGATTTTTACCAAGAGCAGCCAGTAATGGCTTCCCATAAAGAGGATAAGGATAAGGTCCAGGGAATTTCTAAGTCTGATGTGTCATTGATTTGTCATCTAATATTTTGAACAGCTATTGAGGTATTAGCAGAAAAATCAGGAATGTACACACAACATTTACTTTTTATAATTACCCAAATATCCCCTGTGCTGCTGTTAGGATGTCTAATGTCATCTGATTTTGGAGGATGGCCTGTCTCATTAATTTTACTTTTTTATTTAGGAGAGAGAGGGAAGGAGAGAGAGGCCAGCTGCGGTGTCACTTAAGACCCACTGAGTATAGTTAGATAAGGCCTTGATTATAGCCCTCTCTCTGGACAAGATCTGATGGATCCCAGTAGAAGGAATCCAGAAGTAACCTAGCACATTTGTTATAGGTTTTATCTGTATGATTACCTGGGGTCTCGCATCCTCTAGGCAGGAACACATTTTTGGAGAAGGATCAAGAGACCTGGGCCAAGGTCCAGCAATAGGCTGGTTTTTCGCTCTAGTCATGACCACTCAGGGCCCCTCGTGGAGAGGACAGGTAGAGACGGCAGCTCGGCCGGAGGGAGGAGGCAGTCCCGGGCCCTTTCGCCTTTC